CGGCGCCCCCTGGGCGCCGAGCCAGTGGCCGCCGCGTCGCCTCCGCCGCCAAACGGCGCGCTCGGATCGCACTGTCCCGCGGTAGACTGGCTTTGTGGCCGTGCGTGCGTGCGAGTTAGTGTGCGTGTGTGCGCGCGCTCGCCTGTGTGGGGTGTGGGTGGCTGTGCGTGCTTGCGAGCCGGCCTGCAGGAGGCGAGGCTCTCCTGGCCGCCCTAACTAACCAGTTGACCGAGCCCCGGGAGGAAAGTTGCCGCAGCCGCCGGGGCCGCTGGCCCTTCTGTCCCCTGGCCAGGTCAGTGCGCCCCCGGGGCCCGCGCTCTGCGCAGCGTCTGCGGCCGGGACCCGCCCAAGTGACACGTAGGTGGCCTCCAGTTACCTGGGTCTGGGTGGGGGCACGAGAAGGCTTGCGGGGGGCGCTCGAAACTCCCCCAAAGCCGCGTCCGAGTAGACGTAGACCTCCGGGGATCCCCGCGCCCAGCCGCGCGGAGCTCCCGCACCGTTTGCTTCTCACCGACCGACTGAAGAGTCTCTCTCCGGCTGAGGACTTTAAACTTAAGTTTCTGTCCAGACGCCTAACAAACACGCTTAGCAAGTAACTGGGAAATCTAAGGCAAGGGAGGGACCTGGCTTCGAATCGGTGGTTTTGAAATCGACGGGCTCATGTGGTTTTTGTAGGGCTAGTGTGTTGTGAATGGATTTAAAATTTATTCTTGCTTTTCTTTGCTGCCATTTGGGCTTTGATGTGTAAGAATGACGACATCCAGGACTTGTTGCTGCCTTCAGTCTGGGGCCTGAGATTGTTGATCTCAGCTGCTACTTCTGCTCCTCTTTCTTTCTTTTTTGTTGAAATCTGTGCATTTTTCATAAATGTGGGTTTCCAGTGAGTACTCGCTTGTTAAAGTTTCACTATGAATGCGTTGTTCCCATTGGAATAGATACATATTTGCATACATGAATATTGAAAACATGTAACTGCAGTTATTAGAGCAAAATCCTCTATTCCTTCAGGCTCTAACAGTCCATGGTTTTTCACCTATTTGCATAATTTGTCGTTTGCCCAGCGTAAGCATAACTGTGAAACCAGAGGTCTGTGATTCAAAGCCTGCAATTCTGGTTAAAAGGCAGACTCGGCACTGGGAAAACTGCTGAGTTCTCCTAAGAAGCTATTTCCTTGTCAAATACAAGAGTAAGCCCCAAGGAAAAAGGGTGTTATACTGGAGTTATGGCTGTTTGGACAGAACTAAATTGCATTCACACACACACACACACACACACACACACACGTATAATGCCAACTGGTTGTTTCTGCCCTTGATTCTCCAAATTCGTGTAGGAGTGAGCATATTTGTCCGAAATGCGAAATTGTAAATAACGATCAGCATTGTAAGTCTACTAAGGCTGCGTTTTTCTCGATACCGTTTAATTTGAGGATAAAGAAGCCAAGCAGTGAGAGAAAGTAGTGTGTGGCGGGAACGCACGGGCTGAGGGGCCAGGCGGGAGGACTGGGTTGTCATAATCCGAGCCCGACCGCTCGCCGCGTCCCCTAGCGGTGTGACCTTAGCCAGTCAGGTCAGCTCGTTCTCCTTCCTCTTGGCGTCCTCATCTGGAAAATGGAGGGATTTGGTGATCTTTGCTGTTCCTTCCGGCTCCCCAAATAACTAGAAACTGGTGGGTGGTTATCTCACGTTAGAACAGTAGAAAGGGAGTAAAGGGAAGTGTGAACGGGTTAGTCCGGGAGATAAGTGAGAGGGCAGAAGGGCCAAGAAAGTGGAAGAAAACCAGCAGCAGGAGGTGCCTGGAAGAAGAGCCTTGAGCTGGGAGTTGATTTTCCTCTGTTTTTTCTCTCCTCCTCCACAAGGGCATCAATAAGACTTTTTCCTTCTCGGATCAATCTTCCATTACCCTTATTATTTATAGTGTGTGAGCCTGCTTAGCCTTCACGTCGTCCTGGAGTCAAGGTGATCCCTGTCGTCTGGCCTGACCAACTTTGCATTTGCATCATTGTCTCTCAGGGGCTCGGCTGCTGCCCATTCCTCTGGGCACTCAGCGGATCTCAGTATCCCTGTGAATGATGGGAAACAATAACAGAGGCGGGAATGTAAGTTACAGCCCTTTCAACATCTTGCATTTTGAAACTTCCATTTTCATTTGAAGCTGATACTTTCCCAGAAGTAACTTGATTAAAAAAAAAAATGATGCCATAGACTTTTCAAGGTTTTAATGAATCTGTTCTGTTAGACCTATTGGAAAATTCAAAGAAAGTAAAACTCTCACTTGTTAAGTCCTTTTATACATAATGACGTTCAGTCTGAAGTTGGTGATTTTTAGGGCCAAGAATCTTATTTCAAATGCTTAGTAAGGAAAGCTGCCATCTGGGCAGAGTACACTGTATCATTTTCACTGGGAAGCTCCAAATGTTCAGCAAATAACAAGACTTGAAATTTAGTTTGAGGTCAAGATTTTAATGTCTGTGCTTGATGTGTGGCCTGTCTTCCTTTTCTTTAATTTTTTGGATACCCATATGCATACACACTTGAGAAACATGATTTATTTTACAAGTGAAGTGTGATGTAATAAAACTTGAACATAAGCTCTTAGTTTAGAGTCTGAAAGTTTGTTCTGGCCTTATTAACTCAGCATCATACGATTTGGTTTCTTATTTTTACATATCATGTTACCCAAAAAATCCCTGTCATGTTATTTAACTTTCTCTTGGAGAACTGTTATGGATGTTTTAGAAAGTTGGGAGAAAAGGAAGAAATTTTAATAAGCAATTATTGAACTCCTTCTATAGGGGCGGATCCAAGGATGATAAAAAGGAGGCTCTAGGGGCTGGCCGGTGGCACAGCGGTTAAGTGCGCGCGCTCTGCTTTGGTGGCCCGGGGTTCACAGGTTCGGATCCCAGGCGCGCACTGACCCACTGCTTGTAGGGCCAGGCTGTGGCGGCGTCCCATATAAAGTGGAGAAAGATGGGCACAGATGGTAGCCCAGGGCCAATCTTCCTCAGCAAAAAAGAGGAGGATTGGCATCGGATGTTAGCTCAGGGCTGGTCTTCCTCACACACACAAAGAAAGGAGGCTCTGGAAGGAGCTGCAGTGCAGGGGGAGAGATGCAGCTAACTGCAATGTATAGCAGCTGGATTGCATAACTAGGTGGCAGCTGTAGAATCCGAGAAGCTTGGCATGCCGGAGAATGGAAAATTAAATTCTGACTCTGGGAAAGACTCACAAAGGGGACTTGAAGGATGAAAATGATGTGTCTCTTAAAAGATGAGTGGTGGAGAGTGAAGATGTAGTCTGTATCCGGGGTAATGAAAGCTGGAAAGATACAAAGCGGTAACTTACGGGGCACCTCGGATATTATTTTAAGGAGTTGTGCTATAAGGGGTTGAGGAGGAGGAAGTGTTATTTAACCCCAAGATGCAGGAAGACACTGAGTAACACGTTGGGGAATAGTGAGGGGTGAAATCATTGAGGTATGACTGGCCTTTTATTCCATTACATTCCTTGTAACTCATGGCTAGTGAGTTTTAGGGCACTGCTCCCAGCTTATCCAGATGAGATAAAGGTTATAGAATAAATGAATATGTAGTTTCTTCTCCCATATTCCCCTCAAATTGATGGTGGTCTTTTGAGAAATTTAATTTAGTAAAAATTAATAATGCTATTGTGTTACAGCTGGACCTTGTGAGGGCTTTTGAGCATATGGGTTAAAATCACTCTCCAGCCACAGAGCTGACCAAGAAAGCATTTTGTTTTGTTTTGTTTTGTTTGGGGAAGGGCCGGCTAGTTAATGCTAATTTAAACATGACTCCAATGGCAACTGGCATTCTTGACCCTGTTTATGTTATACATAGTATTTAACTACAGGGTTGACTATTTGTAGCACAGAAGAGAAAGAATTATTATTAGTTTAGAAATGGGGTTAATGCTCTTGTAAAGGGTAGGGGGGATGAGAGAGGGGAGGAGGTGGAGAGAGGCTAGTCGCTGGGTATTGCAGTGAGGGCTGACACAACCCTGAAAATCCTTTATGATTAACCTCCAATAGAAGGAGCTTGCTCAATACTGTAGACTGATGCTTCATTAAGAACCTTCTTTCTGGTCATCTGCTTTTTTCCCCTAAATCTCTAGAGCTAAGGTGTCTAGCTCATTGTCTCTCAGATAGGAAGAATCTCTGTGGGATCCATTTGGGAGAGACATTCAGCAGTGATGTAGATTTCCTCTCACACCCCAATACCGCACAGGTGTCACAGGTGGGAATGATGGCTTGTCAGCTGCATGTCAAAGGTGGAGCTGAAATGGGTAAGTCTTCTAATTGCCCTTGAATCAGGAGGTGCTGGCCTACCAAGGAGACAGATAATGAAAGGAGATTAGGGCAACCGCTTTTAACTATCTTCTGAATACAATTTGAATGAATGATCCTCCCAGCAGTGTGTTTATCTTCTGCAGGGGAACTTGGGTTTGGCATGTTTTAATCAATTAATTAAGTTAGTTACCTTGAAGGAGCCCAAGGTTAGTATACTTTATTTCTTAGGAGGATACATGTTAGTTTTGGTTTTTTGTTTTTTTGGAGGGAAGGGAGGTGTGGTGGTGGTGGTGATTTTATTTAAATTCACTGGCTTTTTTTTTTTTCCAGCAGGTTAATATGATTTCAAAGTAGTGTTGTTGTTGTTATTGACTTATGGCGATGGGGCAAAGAAAATTGTCTTAATGCATCTGATCAGTGCTATAGAAACTTTAACCTTGATGTTCATATAAAATTCAAATTTCTTTCAGAAAGGAAAGAGGACTATTTTACTGCATGCGTGGATTTAGGTTATAATTTATTTTATTTTGTGTTACTGTTTTAAAAAAGTGATACAATGACAGGGCAGACTCTTAACTTTAGTCCAGTGCTAAAACAAACACGGATAAGCCTAAATGAGGTAGATCAGGCTGTGTTTGTTGTATTTCATATGGAGATAAGGGAAAATGATTTCAAAACCAGCCTCTTTCTCTAAAAGAGAAAAAGAAAGTTTGACTAGTAATACCTGGTCATGGATCTCTTTGGGGTGGGCTTTCCAAAGTTGAAACTGTTAGTTAAAGGAAATTTTGTTCCTTATGGCTGTCATGTGTGCTATGCTTCTTAAGGTTTAGGATTCACTCTACAGAGAGTGCTACTGTGAACCATTCCTGTTTTAGCCAGTTCCCCTTTATCCATTTTCTTAAACATCAAAACAATGGACTGGATTTGATTTCATGTTAATCTGCTATACTCAATTTTCTTCTCTGTCTTTAAGTGGTTCTCCTTGAC